TTGGAGAAGCGTCTAAAGCAGCTTGACGAGACCCCATGAGTAATTTTATGTTGGCTAAACCCTTATTTACATACTATGTATTATTTATTATTTATTTTTTTAGCAGTCAATACTTTTTATAATAGAGAGTTTTTAATTAAAAAGAATATTAATCAAGAATAAAAATTCTTGAGAATGTTGATAATATATATATATATGTACAAGATACACTTAGAAAGTTTAGCCTTTTATGTTTTAAAGTTTAAAACACTTCAAGTTACAAAATACCTTTTTGTTTATTAAAATTCAAATTTTCTTTCATTTCAGAATTTTTAATTCAAATCCATTGCTAATAAAGCTGAAATGAAGTAGATCCTGAATTGATATCTGTTCATAAAAATGATTCAGATAAAAAAAAAAAAATGGAAGGGAGCTCATGCCATTAATATTTTACTGATATTTGCCAAAAACCAATCAACTAGTCATGAAAGTGAAGCTACTAGGAAAGTAGGGATGGACTCTGAGGACATTGGATACAGCCTCAGGGGTCTATACAGCTCTTGCAGCAGAAGCAGACTTTTGACCTAGATCACATTTTGGTTTATACACTCAGTTTCTTGATTCCAACTCTTCTTCCTCTGTTTGTCAACGTCTTGATTCTGCATTTATGGTGGACTAAGGGAAAGCACAACAAGGGGTGTTGGAGTTATTTTGTTCTGCTGAACCAATTATCCAACTAGGATGTGGCCTGTTTCCCTGAAGCAGCAAAATGTCTCCACACCTCTTTAACTAGTAAGGCCAGTACCTTCTATTGCGGTTTCCATCATCCCCACCACTGCTTCCACCTCTTCCCGCTGGTCTACCTGGACCACTGCTTCGATCAACCCTTTGAGGACGAGAAGATGGCATCTGCACTCCAGGCTGCTGACTGCTCCATTTCCAGATAAAGAGAGAGAAAAAAAAAAAAGGTTGAAGATCTATACTTTCTTACACCAAAAATACAATGTTTGAATGAAGAAAAAACTTACAGGACATAGCCAATTCGGCCATCTGGTAGAACCATTGGCACCATATGCATCCCTGCTGGCATTGGGCCCCTACCGTATATCACTGGCTGTGCATACAAAATTTAGTTTAAACTTCATTAAATGTAGAAACTATACAACATTTCAAAAACTTTTGAGATTAATCCTTAACCACAGATAAGTGGAGATCAGCTAACCTGCTGAAAATTTGTGGCAACACCAAATCCAGCACCCACAGAACCATATGGAGCTGCAGCAAAACCACTGTATGCAGGATGCATAAGATGGTTTGGCTGAAGGCCAGTGCTATATGGGTAACCCACATCAATTTTCTTATCTGTTTGAGGCTTAGCAAGAACAACCTCCAACACTTGGCCTGCCATACAAGCCCATTCAGACATTAATAAGGATATAGCAAACATAGCTAGAGAAAGCAACTTACTTTAAATCCAATTTCTCGAAGACAGTCAACTAGAAACTCTCTATCTTTACATGCCACAATTAGAAATATATGGACTTAAAGAACCACCTCTAAAACATGAATGGACTTCTTCCAGATACTTTTTGATGTTTTATGTTTCCAAATGTATTCCCTTATTTCAACTATAACAAAATCCAAAAAGTTTGCTGCTCTGGCCTATCTTTCCCTCATTATGATGAACCTTTTAGCTATTATTTACCATTACAATGCTCATTGCCACTCAACCCAATCTTAAACTTGTAAAAAAAAGTGCAGTTCAAATATAAGCTATGGATAGTATGCACAGTCAGGTCACTACTTGAACTTTCCTACAGACCAACAGAAAAAATAATTAGAAGAGTACCATCAATTTCATATTTCTCAGTATCTTTGACAGCCTTTAATGCACTTGACCTTTCAGCATAATGTATGAACCCAAAATCCCGTTTCCCAGCTTTTCCAGGTGGCATAACCACTTTTGTAACTTCCCCATGGCGCTGGAATAGTTCCTTAAGTTTCTCAGTGGTGGTGTTCTCAGGTATGTTTTTCACGTAGAGAGCCTTCACCTGAGTATCCAATACAACAAGATATGGTAACACCAACAGGTTATAATCATTCAGTGGCAAGCAAGTAATGGCAAAATTATATTGAAGCATTGATTTTTCTAGCTCCAAAATAACAAGCATCAACTTCATGAATAATATCAATACCCCTATTGCATGGATATGTACTGTATCTTCTGCCCCCATTTTTCTGCTCATTAAGTTCTCAGAAATTAGAATTTTCAGAGGAGATTTCTTTTACTTCTTTCCCAAGTCTTATGGCTCTAGTTTCAGCTTGGCTTCATTTATAAATTTTATACACTTAATGTACAATAGAAAACAATTTAACAATCATAGAGTAACACCTTCACTCAATCCAGCCACCAGGGAAACACTAAGGAAAAGAGCATGCAGATTCTCAAGAAGCAGGCAATCTAAACTAAAGCTAAGGACTTAGGTTGCGGTAACTCTGACAAAAGATACCTGAGAAGCAGCAGAATGGTCAGGTGGACTTCTTGGATCAGCCCAAGTAACTGTAGGGGTATTGCCATCTAGCTTAAATTTAGAACATGACATTTTTTGCCTAGAATAATCAGCACAGGCATTGTTGTAATACAAGACAAAAGCAAACCCACGGTTACGACTTGGATTTTGAGGATCCTGAGTAGATTGAAATGGTGAAAAGCAGTAAGAAGGCATTCAATCTTAATATAATCTTAGAGAATCATCAATGTCACAACTCCACCTTTATGAGTTCAATGTTCTCAACTCCAGGTCCAACATCCTCAATGATTTTTTGGAACTCATCCTCAGTCCAGGTCTTTGGAATATTGCCAATAAATAATCTGCTTTTAGTTTCAGACAGAGAACACCTAGTTGTTTTACCCTGCAGAGATTATGCATTGATTAAACGAAATACCAAACTGCCTTGATCTAAAACTGGCATGTTAATGACACAAGCCATCAACAAGTCAATTTCAAGCATTCAAAGTTCAACCAACATTGATTTGTTTTCAAGAGACACCATGAGTACCTACCTTGAATTCTTGATTATGTAACTCTTCAATGGCCTTTTCAGCAGCTTCTTTTGATTTGAATGCAACAAAAGCATAACCTTTACTCTCACCAGAATCCCTATCTTTTATTAACCTTATCTAGAAAATGATTCAAGTCAAAGTTAAAACCATGAAATCCCAAACAAAAGATAAGAGGCTTGCACATCACAAGCACAAAGGATAAAGGTGTGACCTCAAAAATTTCTCCTAATGGTTCACAAAGATTTCTCAAGTCTTCCTCTGAGGCATCCTTGGGAAGTCCACCAATGAAAACCTCTGAACCATGTGGGGGCAGGGCAAGTAGTTGAGCATGCTTCTTTCTGTCTTCTTCACTAATGGAAGCAGTAGACTTTTCTTCATCTTCCACATGTTCGCCATCAGTGTAGCTTCTTTCTGCATCTGATGATTGATCTTTCCCACTAATCCCAGCCTTTGAATCCTCATACTCTTCATAATTTTCCTCACCATTTGCATTACCACCATCATCAACTCCCTCTTCATCTAGTTGCTCTTCAACATCATCATCCTCTTCCTCCATGTAATTGTCCTCTGCAAGATCCACTTGCTCATCAACTTCAGTATTTTCTGCCATTCCTGCTTCAGGTCTCACTTCAGCTCATCGAATAACTGCACATAAACAGCACCCAATTACCAGAAGGCTTTGATAACCATGAAAATGCCCATGCGTATTACTAAACTGCATCAATTAAAAAATTCCCTTCGCGAAACGCCCATGAGAACTGACAGTAAAGTACCCAGATTATCAAACAAAATCAGAACCCCATCTACTAAATCATCTCATATATCACAGAAGAACCCTATAGAATAAATTTACAGTAATAGCTACAAATTTTCTTTCTGAAATCTAATAAAAATAAATTTAAAAAAGACTGAAACTTTGAATCAATATTTAAACAGATTATATACAAAAAAGAAGACATCGATATGAGATAAATCTATGAAATGGGGCAGAGAAGAAGGTTTTGAGAGATAGTAACAGCTGAAGAAATGAAAGGGAAAGGAGTTTTGAGACCTGAGAATAGCAGCTGCTGTTATCTTGGTCCTGGACTGAGACTTGTTGGTTTTGTTTTCCCCTGGCAAGTTTTGTTTTTCCCGGTGGTGGGGTGCGTACACCTTTGTGATTTATAGTACCCGTCCGGCGAACCAAAAGACCGTGACTTTCCATTCCAGGAGACCTAATTAGGAAAGTGAGAAAACTC